CTTAACCCCTGAGTCACATCCTAAGCCCTTTTTAAATATTTTATTTAGAAACAGGGTCTCACTGAGTTGTTTGGGACCTCACTAAGTTGCTGAGGCTGGCATTGAATTCATGATCCTCCTGCTTCAGCCTCCCTAGCCACTGGGATTATAAGGGCATGTGCCATTTTAAGACCTGGTTCAAATGTTATTTTCAAATTGTTTTCCTTGAGACATAGCAAGAATGTTTTTGTCTTTTCAGTCTTATGCTCTTTTCCTGTATATACAGGACAATAAATATTTGAATTAATGAAGATCAAATGAATATTTATTTGAAGACTGAAGTTATTAAGTGTATGAACATGGGAAGATACTTTTCTTAAGATATTTTACTAATTTTCAAAATGTATTCTGTCTTGCTTCTTTTAAATAGAAACTATTTCTTGATTTCCTGGAATTTTTTAAAAAACTTTTTTCCCCTCTAATTAAGGTGATTTCAAGTTGAAAGGTCTGTTATTAAATGTATATTTTTGGTGAAACAGTTTCTTTTGCTCCTTTTTAAGTTTTTAAAAGTAACTGAATCCCTGATTTCTTTGTTGTTTTTTGTTTTTGTGATTTCTTTGGTATTAAAGTATGGAAATAAAGGATAATGACTAATTTAGGAATCTACTGTGATTTGATTTTAATGGGCATCAACAAATAGAAATACATCATTGCCTAAGCAGTTGTTATTTATTTCCCAAACACACATTTTAAAATTTTATTAGTTGACTAATTGTCTTTTCTTAATGTTCTAGCTGTTCATTGATATCAGCTTACATCACTGAGAAGATAATTTTGAAGACATGTTTTGTTGAAAAGACAACTAAGAAAGATTTTACGAATGGGATGAACACGCTCCAGTTGATTGACTACCTACTGCAATTTGAATGTTAACGTTACCCGCCTGGTACAGTTACCTAGTGATGTACCTATTCTCACAATACCCTATTTCAGCGTGCTTGTCTTGATTAAAGAATTCAAAGTGGAGTACCGCAAACTTGATATGGATAATAAAAAGAAAGACAAGGACAAATCAGATGATAGAATGGCACGACCTAGTGGTCGATCAGGGCACAACACTCGAGGAACTGGGTCTTCATCATCTGGAGTTTTAATGGTTGGACCTAACTTTAGAGTTGGAAAAAAAATTGGATGTGGCAATTTTGGAGAATTACGATTAGGTAAGACTGTTTTATTTATTTCATTATGTGAAGAACATTTTTTAAAAATGGAGGTTACTTTTTAATGAAAAGGATTTAGTTATCTAAGTTTTTAGTTACTTAATTGGATTATGTTGATTTAAAGAATATGTTCAAAATTTCTTATGTGCTGATATTTTCATTTGTAAGGAAATCCCTGTAATAGGAATGTCTATATTTTCTTGAGATTAACCCTTCTTATTTCTTAAGGATCTGAGAATACAAGAAAGTAGCTTTTAAAGGCCTAGCAGATTGAAATAGCTGCTAGGAAGGCTTTTGTAGTATGTTCTTTGGACATAGTTTCCTTTTACATATTTCAAAATATTTAATATCTAACCACTTTAAGACCATGTATGTGACTAAAATGAAAGTTAATATACTGAAATGTATGCATTTAACAATGTAATGAAATTTACATTGTTGTAATTAAATTTTTTTCTTTCCACTCTTTTCCTCTCCTCTCCCCTGCCCAGGTAGTCTGGGGTGAGACTCAGGAGTCCATATTGACAAAGGATTCACAGAATTGGCTTAGGTTTTTGTAGTTAGGCAATTTTGGGAAATGGTGGTCTAACTGACCTTTGTAACTCTACATTTAGGAAAATTGAGACTCAGAGAAAGTTACTTGCCAGATTTCATCCAGAAATTTAATGACAGTTCTCAGGATCAAAATAAAATCTAAGTCTTTTATTTCTTAGTACTGCAGAGGTAATTGCCGACTCGATTGAAGAGAAACAAGAATGTGGCATGGTTATGTAAGAGTCAGTATGGAGGTACATTGAGGACTCTGGTCAATGGATCACCAAGAGTGGGAGCTTTAGAAATTAAAAAAAGAAAATTCTGGCTTGATGATTTTCCTTAGATCCAACCTTGCTTCTAGAAATAAATCCAGTTGTGTTTATCTACTCAACTACTTCTTATAGTCTTATAAAACATTCTAATTTGTAGTGACTCTTTAATATCATTAGTTTTGTGTTGTTAATGTACTTTAAATATTTGAATTAAGCACGCTAATAAAAAGGCAGTGACATACTTTATACATAGCTATAACATGATGTGGCTGGCAGACTTGAATTTCATAGGGAATCAAATACTTGAAGGAGTAAATGTTTACATTTTATTTCTTGAGACATGTTAAATTAGATCTTTGAAATTCTTAAACTGTTTCTGAGTTAGAAAAACCAGATTATTTCCTTGAGGTCTAATTTTGAGCAATATCCATTTAATTCTTAACACTTACAATGCACTAGAAAAATATAAAAATGGTTCCTGCCAATTTGGAGCATATAAGTCATTTTAACCACTCAAGGACCTCAAATTCTTCATAATTGGATTATTTCCACTTTCAGGTTATTGTGAGGGTTGAATTTAGATGATAGTGTAAAAGGAACAGCATTATATTTGAATATTCTTTGTCCATTTAAAAAAAATTTAAAAATATCTTTATTTTGTTTATTTGTTTTTATGTGGTACTGAGAATCGAACCCAGTGCTTCACATGTGCAAGGCAAGGCAAGTGCTCTGCCACCGAGCCAATAATCCCTGCTTCTTTGGCCATTTTTAAGCAAAATTGTTTCATATCATTTTTTTTCAAGATAACCATACACACACATACATTTATACACTACATACACATTTTGTGTGTGTATGTATGTGTTTGTGTATATTCACACAAAACAAATCCAGTGGACCATATTGCCCAAGACAATATGAGAAACTATAAGAACCATATACTGAAACTGTACTATGTATTGTAAAAAGCAGCAAAACACGCCTTTCTTTTGCAGTCCATGAATAAACAGGATTAGAAATAAGAAGACTTCTTAGTGCATCTATTTATATATGTAATCTATAAGTATTAATTGTATATATACATGTGTGATATTTATATATTTAGCATGTATATCTATGTGTCTCAGTTTTATGTATATGTATATAAACATATATATATATTTTATATATATATATATGTATATACCTATATGTATGTGTGTGTGTGTGTACACACATACAACAGAGATCAACTAATAATTTTATCCTTCCTTATTCATAGACTATACTAAAGGGGCATTTTACTTCTAGCTTCAAATCCCCAAATGTTTTCCTATTTTGAAAAAGTTATAAGCAATATTCTTTCTGTACTTGGATAAACAGTTTCTAATGTTAAAAGTTGGTTTGGATTCTAAAAATACTTAAAAAAAACACAGTAATAGGCTCATCTTGATTATTCTTAGTACTGAATTTTTTTTGTGGTTGGTATTGGATAAGAAAAAAGTATAAAGTAAACTTCTTGGGCTGGACAGTTAGTAATTTCTATTTTGGTAGAAGACTATCTCTCATGTTGTAGAGCATTAAAAGCTTCAGACCTCTTGGGCACCAAAAAAGAGTTGCAATCCTATACATAATGCAGAATATCCCTCCATGCCTAAATGCCTCAAGGAAAGGCAGTCTTGCATACTGTTGTAAATGATTCTTATAGGTAATTAGTTTAAAAAAAAGGATCATGAGATTAAAAAAAAAGTTATACCTTAAAAAATCTTTTATATTGAAATAAATGTGTTAAGCATTTTTATCTGTATTTTTTATTTTAAATGATGTGTTGGTATATATTTGTGATTTGTTTCTTTTTTTTTTTTTTTTTTGGTACTGAGGATTGAATCTAGTGGCTAGTGGCACTCTACCACTGAGCTACATTTCTAGGCCTGTTCATGTTTTTATTTTGAGACTGGGTTTCACTAAATTGCTGAGGTTGGCCCTGAACTTGAAATATTCCTGCCTTAGCCTACGGAGTTACTGGGATTTCAGGTGTGCCTGGCTTGTGGTTTCATTTATGTGTTGGTGGTAAGGCTTGCATTATGTGTTGGTAGATGTATTTTTTAGCTTAGGTAGTGAATGGAAACCATTAGAATTTTTTTTCATAGACTCTGAATGAGATTAATCATAGCAAGCATATATATATGCTTGCTATGATTAATATATATATATATGGTTTTATTGTATAATTTTTATTTTTCTGTGTTTTTGTGAGTTTTGGACATTTTCAAAGCCTTTCTGGCTAGGGAAAGACTGCCCCTCTGGCTGTTAGTCAGTTTTTAAAGATAGCAAAGGACTCAGCTGGGAGAATAATGCCTTTGATAATGTAAACTACCAACCCATTGCCTTGTCTCCTCTATCTGGCCTATACACTCAAGAGGCAGTATTCCTCTGCTTTGATCATCCAGAGCCAGCAACCATGCAAGTAGAGAGCACCCTTAAAGCCCCAAAGTCACTGGAATTATGGAGAGTAGCCAATTCTAAATTGTTTACCCTGCCTTGTCTTACCTTTCTCTTGACAATTCTAATAAAGGCCTTGGGCTAACCTCTCCTTTTGCTCCTGTCTTCTGCCACCTAACCCCAGCCTAGTGCTTTTCCTGTGACTACATGGTATGCAGTGTGACTCCTTAAGACTTGTGAGTATAGTGAACTTTGTTTACCTGAGCCTCTCCTGTATTTTGTTGTAGCTGCACTTAATTATCATATAAAAGAATATGAACAAGGATGTTTTATGTTGCTTTATGAATTATCGTATCTGAGAAAAGATATTGTAACTTTTGACATAATTAAGTTTTCCATGGAATTTTTCATAACTTCTTTTATTAATGTTTGTTTCTCCTCTTATTCATATGTAGTTTTTAAATTTTCCTTATTTTAATGTTTGTGTTTGAGAATTGTTTTATTGAAAATTCTACTGGCCTTCCAAGATATATCAACTACATAGGCAGATTTGGATGAATTCATCATTTTTATGTTTATTGATTTTTCTGTTGCTAACTAAAGCTCATTATAAATCTTAGACGGGTGAAAGGGGCAGGGAGGGGGCATGGGGTTAGAAATGATAGTGGAATGTGATGGTCATCATTATCCAAAGTACATGTATGAAGACATTAATTGCTGTGAATATGCTTTGTATACAACCAGAGATATGAAAAATTGTGTTCTATATGTGTAACATGAATTATAATGCATTCTGCTGTCATATAAATTTTAAAAAATTATTAATAAAAAAGACTTAAAAACATAATAACTAAATAATTGATTATGATGCTGTGACCAAAAAAATCCCCAAATATAATGGATTTAAGCACTTAATTTCTTCTTTTTTCCCATTACATAGATTAGAGGGCGAGCACTCAAAGCTGTTAGGGTACCTCTGCATCCTTAATATGTGGCTTTGGTGTCTGTGTAAGGTGATTGTTGTGGTTGTTGACTTTTTGCATCCAGCCAGCTAGCCAGCCAGGAAGTTAGAAGAAAAAGAGTGACATACCTGCTGTCCACTGATATGCAGAACTTAGTCACATGGACACACTAAACTGAAAGAAAGGCTGGGAAATATAGTCTGTAGTAAGGTAGTCATTCTCAAGTTTGGGCATTTTATTATTATGGAAAGAATAGAATGGATGTTGGTGGATACCTTTAGACCCTGTTATAAACATTTATGCAGTTTCTGAAGACTATAGTTTTCTATAATAATTACCATCCTAGCACCACAACATTGGTAAAACTATCTTTTCAAGTTCAGTGTGACAGAAAGCGCTATTGGAAATGTCTTTTGAAACAGAATTAAAACTAATAAACTAGCACTCTACTTGGGAGCCTTCTTTTAATGGGATTCCTTCAATATGTATATTTCCTCCCTCTCACACCATATACACATACACATAGTTTATGTGCATCATTTGTTTATTCATGCTTCCAAGCAAATATTGATTAAACACTATGTGAGACCATGGCGATGGTAGGTGACAAAAATGCTTTTATATTGTTTAATATTTGTTAATGTTTATAACTGTGACCCACCCCTCCAACTTCAGCAGAATGTCCAGTGTTCGAAAACAGATGATGCTTTTAGGATTTAATGCTCTCTGCTCTGAGCAAAAAGGTAGATGCTAGACCATGTAAAAGCCAACAAACACAATAGTTTTGGAAGTATTTGGTATATTTTGGTTCTTTGGGATCTGTGTTTAATATAACTTCTTGTTAGCTCTTTTTTTCCCTGTGTACTTGTGAATAAACATAATATAAAAAATGTGAAAAGATAATATCTTGAGGAAATGCAAATTTCATCAAGAACCAGGATTGTTCATTTGTTAATTAGATGCCAGTCTTTGAGATTAAGTTCCTTATTTTATTGTTATTTACTATAAGTTTACTTGAGGAAAACTAAAATTTCATGCATAATACGTTCTTGAAAATGTATATGAAGACATCTAGAAAGCTACCTTGGGTAAGAATATTAAATATTCTCTAATATTTAAAAAATGTTTATATGGGTTCAGTGAGTATATAAATAGAGTTTAAGGTTTACCACTTTTGGTATGTCTATAAAGTTCTACCTTTGTGCCAGATATATGGAATTTTTGAGACTTCTGCTACTCAGCATTAGTACCAATGTATGATGTTTTTTCTCTTTGTTTTTACTTATTTTTATACAATAAGGACAAAATTTAGAAAAATATTATAATACTTGTATGAAAAATGTTGAACAAAGGTGGCTATATATCTGAAGCTGATATTTTCTTAGAAATTTTACTACCGTTCATTGCTGCTATATGAAAGGAGATTAAGAGTATTATGCAGAAAAATCGTGTCTATGGAAATCGATGATTATCTACTCTGTACTCAGTAGCAAATATGACTGGGGCCAGTTACTTTCACAGTTAAAAAGATAAATCTGTCATTTTTCTATCCTTTATTACAAGAAAAAATATTGGAAATTCAGAAATCACATGTGATACTATTTGTTAATTTTATTCTTTTAAATGTACTTGTAAAGGTATACATTAATTTGTATATTAGATTATTTTCATGTACTATTACTTCCAAATTCTCCATAGTAATATCCTTAGGCTACAGATTTTGACCCATTGGAATTTTTTAGATTATGGCCAATGCCAAAGTGTACTGCAATTTTTTTAGAATTTTCTGTATGTTAATGATGTTAAGTCTCTATTTTAGTTCGTCATTTACGTTTTCTTTGCATATAATAAAGTTTTTCATCATTCAGCCAAACCTATATAAAACCTTTTGATTTTTAAAATATCTTCTTATGCTTAGAAAGTCTTTCATATATTGGGATGGCAAATATTTTTTCTTGTCTAAGGTTATATTTTTTGGAGTTAATTTGATCATAAGACGAGGTGCTAATAACCCCTTTTTCTCAAAGTGTTGTTAACTAGTTTTTCAGAGCCGATTACTGAGTAATATTTTTCTTTTTTTGTTGTATTTTTAATATAGATCTTTTTCTGTATATTGATATATTAATAAGATTAAATATGAGTCCCAATAAGATTATATCACATAATAATGAAGGTTTTAAAATGAGATGATGGATAGGAAAGGAATTTTATATTTCTGTTTTTATATAGAAGTGATACTTTAAAAAATTTATTTAGCATGCATTGATTATTGATTACTCTCTAAATTGTTTACAGGGCTGGGTGCAAGTGACACATGCCTGTAATCCCAGCAACTCGGGAGGATGAGGCAGGAGGATTGAGAGTTCAAAGCCAGCCTCAGCAATTTAGTCCATAAACAACTTACCGAGACCCTGTCTCAGAATGAAAAATAAAAAGAGCAGGGGATATGGCTCAGTAGTAATGTGCCCCTAGCTTCAACCCCCAGTGCAAAAACAAAAAAACAAAAAACAAAACAAAAAATTATCTACAATATTACAACAAAATCAGAATCTTTCTATTTTTGTAAGTAGGATAACATGTTTATTAGTATCACTTTCTACTCAATATGTGATATGCTAAATATATTATTGAGTTGATTAATTAAAATATTTTCTTGTTGAGGTGTTTTTGCTTAATAGTTAAGGCTTTTTACTTCATTTAAATGTATTATTTTCTCCAGAATTGTGAGAAAACAAATTTCTATTCTTTATATAAAAAAACACATAATGTATTATTTCCCTTTTCCTTCCCAGAGTACAATTTATATATCTTTAAAAATTTTGTTAACAATAGAATTTTATCCAGTCATGATGAAGAATGAAATTTTTTAATTTGCAGTAAAATGGACAGAACTTGAAAATATAATGTTAAGAGAAATAAGCCAAACTCAGAAAGTCAAGAATTGTAAGTTTTCTCTCATATGTGAAAACTAAAAAGGAAAAAGGAATTGAAGGTGGGTGGAGGAATCTCAGTAGAGGAAAAGGGACCAGGGAGAGGGAGGAGGGGAGGGAAAGAAGAAATACTGGGGAGTGATATTGGCCAAATTATATAGTTATATTGTGTGTAGGTATGAATATGTAACAACAAATCCCACCATTATGTTCAGGCATAGTACACCAATAAAAATATAGAAAAAATTGTTAGCAGAAACTGATATTTTTTTCTTTCTTTTTCAAGGGAAAAATTTATATACGAATGAATATGTGGCAATTAAGCTGGTAAGTTCATATATCTTGCTTTTCCTTAATTATTTCCTTGTTTATGTTTTAATTATGTTTCATTTTCATATGATTTATAATTTGGGTGTTTATTTGAAAGGGAAAAATAATATGCATAGTCTGCTTTTTTCATTACTAAAATCCTAACATCATCATGACCTTCAAGTACATGATTGATCTGTGTAGAATGTTAGTGTTTCTCTGTGCTTCACAAACTAAGTCCTTTTACTTTGGCAACTTTACCAAATAAATTTTGGCTCTATTTTTTTTTCTTTTAGTTATAGATGAACCCAGTACCTTTATTTTATTTTTTGTGGTGCTAAGGATTGAACTCAGTGCCTCACGCATGCTAGGCAAGTGCTCTACTACTGAGCCACAACCCCAGCCCAATTTTCACCCAATTTTTAATTTAAGGTAGCATTTTTAATTAGATAAAAATTAGAAAAGAAGATTTCTCTTCCTGATTCAAGCATTTGGACAAAACAAATATGTCCTTAAGTATTCAGAATTACATTCTTTGAAAACATATTTTCAAGTAAGCTTCTGAAATTTTTTCTATTGACATTTTATAAATCAGGTAAAGCTGGCTATTGTTTGACTTTTAGGGATTCAGAAATTCTTGATGTGGGTGTAGGATAGCAGGGAAAACTGGCTCCCCTGGGACTAGTCTAGGTTGGTTTGTTGTTTTTGAGGCAGGACCTCATGACATTGCCCAGGCTGTCCTTGCATCCATGATTCACCTAGTATCTCCAAGTATCTGAGATGACAGGAATGCACCACCTTATGTGACTTAATGGGACGGTTCTGAAGTCCTGAATGTGCTACTATAATAGTTAGAGGATGGATCTCTTTGGAAGAATTGGGACCTAGGAATTATTTTTATAAGCCATACTTTGCTCTTCTATCTGACTTGCCACTCACGTTTCCCTGAGGCTTAGCATGGCTTGGTTTTTTGGTCTGCTTGCCTTTACCGATCTTGTCTCTGCTGATATAATTTGTATTATTAGGGTGATATGAAACTAATATATAAAGGAGAGACTTTTTGAGGAAGAGGCAAGTAGGAGGAATTAGAATAACTTTTGAGATGAAGTAGAAAACTCCTATTTAATGTGTCTTTGTGAGTATAGACCAAGTTTCACTGTAAGAAATACTGTTTATTTTCACTTGAAAATAAAGATGTATAGTAGACTATGGCACCATAAGGAGAGATTGGCTGGTTGATATTTGGCATTTGTTTTGATAAGTTCACTTTGGTTTCAAGTTTATTCTTTGGCATTATGATAGAAAATCTTATTTTAGTTAGTTAATTAATTAATTAAATTTTGTGTTACTGGGAATTGAATTCAGCAATCCAGCACTCTACCACTGAGTTATACACCCTAGCACCTATCACATAAAATCTGATTAGGTCATTATACCAAGATTGTTTCTGTTTCTAGAGTTGGATTTACATTCTCACAGTTAATTTCTCAGAAATGAAAATATTCAGCAGGGTTTATTTCTAATTTATAATGACATATTTTATTATTATGGGTGCAAAATGCCTAAATTAGTATAAATAATGTTTCCTTCCTGTAGGCTGATCTACATAGAAAACTAAATTAAAACTTAAAGTTTCTTCATGAGCATGAAATCAGTACACATAAGAGGAGTTACTATATGTGACTCATAGTGAGGAGGCCCAGGATACAGGAGCTGGACAGTAACTGAATGGACACTACTGATTTTTCTTTCTTTGGAATTCTTCCTTTCCATGTTCAAGGCCAATGTTCTTGAGTCTAGACATTTTATGGTTTTGGGTTTAAGGGGGTAGAGTGTAAGTATAGAGGTATGGCCTGTATTCTGTGTTACTGATGCAGCATCCTGTAGTGAGCAGCTGCATTCAAGAAAATATGTCCTGTATGTCAATGATTTTAATCAGCTAGACCAAGGCAGCTAAACCATGTGTCAAAGCAGGAGCCACTGCTCTAGGCTACTTTCCTTGTCTATTTCAGTCATCAAGTAGTGACCTTAGATCATTTATTTTTTAGATTTGGTGCTTGTTTGTTTTCTTCATACCTCTCATGCCTTAGTAACCATTTGTTCTGTCATTTTTAAGTCTTCTTACACATACGTACAAGCATTGCTTTTTAGTTTATTTTGTGGCATATCACTATCCCTTTAATTATGTTTTTTCCTTTAAAAAATTTTGTCATTTTTTAAAGCACAGCAATCAGCTTTATATATAATAATTTCTCAGAATACTTGGTGGTAACTGGGAATATGTTTAGAATCTATGTCTTTAGTATTTTGAGGTTGAAGTATGGTATTTAGTCATGCTTTCCTCAAGTTCATCCAAAAAATATACTGGGAGGACAGAAAAATCTTTACATAAATTGTTTAGACCATAGTTTGGTATTTCTATGTACTTTTTAAAAAAAATATATAATGGTATCCTAGTTCATGCCGATAGTTTGTTTTCAAATAATTTTTCAATTTGACCTTGTCCATCACCCTCATAGATTTTGCACACATATATAACAACTGGTTGTGCATGAATAATGAAAATGTCACCCCGTGGTAAAAGGACTTTTGCTATGTGATGGTGTAATAAAATTTTATTGCTAGTTAAGTACTGGAATCTAGTTGATCAAGTCAGTTATGTGTCTTTATTTTTTACCTAGGGCATATTGTATGTAATTTCACTTATGATTGCATAAATTGGCATCTTTTTAAAATTTGTTCTTTTTACATACACATGACAGTAGAGTGTATTTTTGACATATTATACATACATAGAGTATGACTTATTCTAACTAGGATTCCGTTCTTGTGGTTGTACATGATGTGCAGTTTCACTGGTGGTGTTGTCATATATGAATATAGGAAAATTATGTTCAATTCATTCTACTGTCTTTCCTATTCCCATTCCCCCTATCTTCCCTTCCTTCCCCTTTGTCTAATCCAGTGAACTTCTACCTTTCCCATATTGTTATTGTGTGTTGGCATCCACCTATCAAAGAGAACATTTGGCCTTTGATTTTTGAGATTGGCTTGTTTCATTTAGCATGATAGTCTCCAGATCTATTCATAAATGGGCATCTTGTACATCTTAAGATTACATACTTTTAGATTGTTATTTGAAGAATTACAGATAATAAAGTACTATGTAGAAGGCACTGTTTTAAGCATATTGTATGTATCTGTTACCTTGTTATACTTTCCTATTGGTTCTTGCCTAAATTTCCTGTATAATTATGATAGTTTTCTTTTTCTTACAGATATTTTCACATTTAATGTTGTATATAGTATTCAAAAGTTTAGTTACTTCTGTTATGTTGCTTCTGTCTGTGAGCATATGTGTATAGGGATAATCTTAAAAAAAAACATTGATTAAAAAGTCTGATTTATAAAACATTGATTTTTTTTAACAGTTTATTATTTACACGTATAAAATGGGATATTATACAGTATAAAGCATAAACTGTATAATATCATTTAGATGAAATCCAACAATAGGCAAAACTAACCCAAGGGTGATAAAAATAAAATAGTCTCTTTGGAAAAGATCATTTACATATTCTGTAGATCATTTGTTATGTTGATTATAGGAGAATATGTAATTAACAAAACTAATGGATCTATCACTTAAAAACTCTGTTTTATTATATGTAAGTATAAAAAAATTTTTTGAAAAGATGTTACTGTCAACATTTTTCATATTACCATCTTTGCTCTTTCTTACCTCTTTTGGGGGGAAGGGGATGTTGGGATTTGAACCCAGGGCCTCATTCATTTATGCTAAGCACATGCTCTACCACTGAGGTACACTCTCAACTCCTCATGCTTTTCATTGTCTTCATGTTAACTTAGAACCTTTACATCAGATATACACAGTTCAGAGCTGAATTTCTGGGAATGGGAGAAATAGTGTAAGGGCCAACATTTCCTTAGTCATGAATGTTCAGTGTATATTTTTTCCAGGGTCAAATAGTTGAACATAATAGAAATCCCTAGTGTTTGATCTAATAGCTACATACCATTTATATATTTATGGATGACATCAGTTAATTTTACTTTGAACATGGTGTTGATTTTTATACAGATATAATTTTAGTGAAAAATGCCTAGTAGAATATAAGAGTTGACACCAAAATTTATAACATTTGGAATTGGGGCCTAATGATCTCTTAACTTAAATGTCTTTGTTCATTTGTTTTTTGATTAGGAGCCCATGAAATCCAGAGCACCACAGCTACATTTGGAATACAGATTCTACAAGCAGTTAGGATCTGGAGGTAAAGTCTTACATTAATTAAAAAATTTGAAATAAAATAGAATTGCATGATAGTCATTCTTGAGATTCAAGGAATAGTATTTTAAATTTGATTTAGTCATTTTTAGAGGGGCCAGGGTTGTGGCTTAGTGGTAGAGCGCTTGCCTAGCTGCATGAAGGTACTGGGTTTGATCCCCGGCACCACATTAAAAAAAAAAAAATAATAATAATAATAAAAACAAATAAAATAAAGGTATTGTGTCCATCTACAACTAAAAAAAAAAAATTAAAAAAAGAGACATTTCTTGCAGGCTGTGCTTACCAGACATTGTCTTATTATAGTCTGAAAGGCCCTTATTTATTTTAAATATGAAAATTGGGAGCTTTTAGTTGGTGTTAGCACAGATTGAGAATATTATAAAAAAATTGAGAATATAAAATACATATAGCTTCCATATTCTTAGCCTTTTGAGCAATATTATAGCTATTGAAGTTTATTGTGGTCTTGTAATAGACTGAAAAATGGTACCATTAAAGATAGTCATATGATAATCCCTGGAACCTGTAAATGTTACTATATAGCAAAGAGTTTGTAGACATGATTTTTTTATAACTTTTTTTTCTTTTGAGAGAGAGAGAGAGAGAGAGAGAGAGAATTTTTTTAATATTTATTTTTTAGTTTTCGATGGACACAACATCTTTGTTTGTATGTGGTGCTGAGGATCGAACCTGGGCCGCACGCATGCCAGGCGAGCGCGCTACCGCTTGAGCCACATCCCCAGCCCGACATGATTAAATTAAGGAATTTGAGATGGAAAGATTATTTTGGATTATCTGGGCAAGTCCTAAGTGCAATCACAAACAACATCCTTGTAAGAGAAAGGCAGAGAGTTATTTTATATACACAGAAAAGTAGAGGGCAGTGTGACCATGGGGGAAAGATGGACTGATACTTCCATAAACCAGGGAATGCTTGTAGCTATGAAGTCTTTCTTGGAAGAGGCATTTAGGATTATCTCCTGGAGCCTATAAAGAGAGCGTGGACTTGCCAGCCCCTTGAGACTGATTTCAGACTTCTGCTATCTAGATTTTCAAAGAATACATTTCTGTTGTTTTAAGCCATCAGTCTTTTATTAATTGTCACAGTAACTGAGAAACTAACAGAAGTGTAGTTTTATATAAACTTTGGATTCAAGTGAAAATAAATATTGTGTGTCATTGGAAAAAATTAATGGAAACATTTTGTACTGTACCTTATATTTCTTCTGTTAAAGCTTTTCACAGCTCTAGTTTTGTGTACTCTTATTCTTTTAATCATAATAAATTTACTTGTACAGTTTTTTTAATAATGTAGGTAGTGTGTTTTGTTTCCCCAGATTTAATAAAATGGAATTTTTATGTATTATTATTTTTATCATGTATTCTTTTGTAAGCTTGTTTACATTATTATTATTTTTATTATTATCATGGATTCTTTTGTAAGCTTCGTAGAGCTATTTCTTCATATATTATAGAGATTTGTGGGTTGTTTTTATAAGAGTAAAACTTTACAAATGAGTCATTGCAGGGACAAGTTTAAAATTTTGTGTTAAAGCATCTAATGCTATAAACAACAACAACAACAACTACTACTACTACTTTTCTTCCTCCTCCCCCCCCCCCCCCCAAGTTCTTGTGGTACTGGGGATTAAATTCAGGGCCAAGCACTTGCTAGGCAAGTACTGTATCACTGAGCATCCCCTACCCGACAATAGGCTTTGTATAATGCATTTTTAAGTCTGATACAAACAGGCCTTATTTGCTTTCCATATTGCTATGACAGAACACCTGAGGTAATTAATTTATAGGGAGGAAAGATTTATTTTGGTTCATGGTTTCAGTCTATGGTCAGTTGACCCTGATGTTTTGGGTCTGTGCCAGTAGTTATATATCATGGCAGGAGTACATCCGTGGAGGAATTCTATTCTGCTTGTGGCAGCTTGGATTCAGAGAGAGGGAGGAAGGGGCCAGGTCCTAAATCTCCTTCAAGGGCACATCTCTACTGACTTAACTTTCTTCTACTAGGCCCTATGGTAGAGGTTTTACCATCTTTCAGTAGTGCCACAGGCTAGCAACTAAACCTTTAATAGATGGGCTTTTGGAAGACACTGTACATCCACATGGTAGCAGGACCTCGGTTACCAGAATTAACACTGACAAATGAGTTTTAAGTTACAGCGATTAAACTAATTGTATGTAAATCCATACATGTTAGTTAGGACTGTCAGGTAAGAAGTTAAGTAGAAAAGAAGAAAACAACACAAATTTATGACATATATGCTGAAAATTCCAGGAAATAACCTACAATATGCGAGATTGCTTTATCCAGGGTTTCAAACACTGTCATCAATATCTTGACTATTAATGATTTACTGTTCTTTGTATGTATAAGCTCCACTGTCTGGTTGCCTCTGCTTAAAGATGGCAAAGGTAGCCATCATAGACTAGGCTTAGCAATTATAAAAACATCCTTTTTTTCTAAAAATTCTCCAGCAAAAGTGCTAGGACTAAATTTTACTGTTTTATATTGAGTCCCATTCTTCCTTTGTTTGAGTCACTATGAATTTGCTTGCCCAAAGGTTATGTGCACATCCCAGGAACTACCTGGACCTTAGGAACTGAGATTGGGAACAATGGTTGTCTATTGGGAAATTGAGGTGCTGTTAGAAGGCAGATTGGGTACTATGAAGATAAAAACACATAGTTCTATCTAGTAAAGTAGTAGAACTTTTATTTAGAAAATGGTTTAATTTGATAAGAATAAATAAGTCAATTTGGAATTTAGTTGTATTGAGTAATAAAAGTATACTTTTAGTATCTTAATATTCACCCATTTTAACTTTAAATTAAACATACATTTATATATCTTTTTGCAGTCACATACCATAGGACTACTGTGTAGCACAGGTGCAGGTACCACCCTTTGGGTAGCTTTTATACTTAAGGAGGTTTCCTGCTGCCATGGTATTATTTCTATAGATTGAAATGTGAATTGTATTGCCAGAAGATGTATATAATAGTGGCTGTGAAACTATGATAAATGTGATATTTTCGAATATTTCATGAGTTACATGAATTTTGACTATTTTTTTTTTGATTTATATCAGTTGTGAAGTTAAAAAAAAAAAAAAACAAAAAATACCTTTAAGTACCTATGTGAACCTTATAGAAAAACAAGAGTGCTTAATTGGGAGAACTGGTGACCAAAACAATTTTATTTTGGAATTGATAGCTGGAATGATTATATTTTCAGATTGTTCTTAATCATATATGAGCCTTTTCAAGCAATCTCAACCTATAAATCATGCAGTATAATATTTTATTTTGATAACTTGCTTGTTAGCATTTTCTTTAAAAATATATTAAAGTTATACTTAATTAATATGCAGAATATATAAATAATTCCTAAAACTTAACAACAAAAATAGAACCAATTCAATTAAAAAATGGGTAAGGAACTTTAACTCAGCATCACTAATAAATAAAGGAAATGCAACTCAGAATCTTATTGAGATGCCACTTCACCCATTTCAGTATAGCAACTAAACAAACAAAACTAAAACCAGAAAACAGCAGGTATTAGTGTGGATGTGGAGAAATTGGAATTCTTGTACATTAATGGTGGGAATTATAAAATGGTGCAGCCACCATGGAAAATTGGTGGTTCCTCAGTAAATTAAACAGAATACCATTTGATTTAGAAATTCCACTTCTGGATACATATGTAAAAGAATTGAAAGCAGGGACTGCAACAGATAATTGTACACCCATGTTCATAGCAGTATTGCAGTAGCCAAAAGCTGTAAGCAAGTCAGATATCTGTTGATAGAAAAATGTTGTGCATAATTTCTGTCGAATATTATTCATTAAAAAGGAAAGGAATTTTTGAGACATGTTACAATATAGATGCACCTTAAGGATGTTGTGCTGAGTTGCAGAGGCCGGTCAGAAAAAGCCATATACTCTATGATTCCACTTTCTTGAGGTACCTAAGTAGACAGATGCATACAGACAGAAATTATAAGGGTAGAGCTTATGGGAGAATAAAAATGGAAATTATTGTTTAAAGGGTATTTTAGTTTAAGATGATGAAAAATTTCTGGAGATTGATAATGGTGATAGTTATACAACAATGTGAATGTACTTAGTGCCACTGAACTGTACATTTAAAATGATTAGAATGATAAACTTATGTTATGGATTTTTGCCATAATAAAGAATAAATTAAAAGGAAAGATTTATTTAGAATTATTTAGTGAGGTATCTGTGAAAAAGTAAACAATTTGTCTGGTTCTGTCTGAGTTTTAGTCCTCCTGTAAGTTAGTGTGTCTAATTTTCCTTTCACCTAGCATCCCTGGAAACATCCCTCTTTTTTTTTTTTTTAATTTACTGAATCTGTTATATATGATCAAAAGTTTGTTTTCAGTGTGCATATGAAGGAGTGACTTACATTACTTAGCTTTAGCTAAGGATGAGAATATTGTTTTATCCCATTGTCACTTTCTGTGATAGCAAATTTAATGTACTAAATAATCTTGTTTTCTCACATCTACTTAGCATTCCCTAAGTAAAATGAAATTCTAGATTTGGGAATCATCAGTACCGAGATGGTTTTGAAAGCAAAGGGAATGTACAAGATCTCCTTGGGAGAGTACAGGGATGGATAAGAGTAAAGGATTGAGGACGAAGCTGTGGGGTCCATTGTGTTGGGTAGGAATGATTTGACTGTTAGTGACAAAAATTGTGATACAAGTAGCTTAAACAAATAAAGGATATTACATAAAAAAATAAATAAGGAGTTGTGGGGCAGGCAATCGTAGGATTGGCATAACTGCTCAGCCTCCTATCCTTTGTGTGTAACTTTCTTCTTACAATCCAGGATCTTTTGTAATAAGAGCGAGGGAAGAGAGGATCAAATGAACATCTGTATAAAGACAAGTTCCAATTCTTTGTCTCCTTTATGCACGAATGTCTCTACTGGAA